ACTTCTCCTTTTTCGTTTCTAATTTTATTGATTTGAGCCCTTTCCCTCTTTTTCTTGATGAGTCTGGCTAAAGGTTTAAAAGTTAAAAAAAAAAATGGCAATACTCCCCAAAGCAATATACAGATTCAATACAATCCCTATCAAAACACTAATGTCCTTTTTTTGCGGGAATAAAAATATCCATCCTAAAATTCATATGGAATTTCAAGGGACTCCAAATAGCCAAAACAATCTCAAAAAAGAACAAAGTGGGAGGTCTCACACTTCCTGACTTCAAAACATACTACGAAGCCACAGGAACACTTCCATGACTCCAAAAGTTTCCTTTTGCCTCCTTGGCAGTTAGTCACTCTCTCCATCCCAGCCCAGGCAACCCCTGATTTGCTTTTTGTCATTGTCTAGGATTCTGCCTTGTTTAGAATTTCATAGAAATGTGATCAGTACATAGTCTTTTATGTCTGACTTCTTTTACTTAGCATGATGTTTTCAAGATTCACTCATGCCGTTGTGTATATGAGTAGTTCATTCCTCTCTGTTGCTGAGTAGTATTCCACAGTATGAATATATTACAATTTTATCCATTCACCAGTTGGTGGATATTTGGGTTATTTTCAGGATTGATTTTTTTATTGTTTTGTTTTTTATTTTTTTACAGTTATATTCAGCTGTGTCAAGTTCTGGATTTCTTTTCATTTATCCTGTTTGCAACTCATTGGAATTCTTGAATCTGTGGAATGGTGATTTTCACCAGTTGTGGAAAATTGTCTTTACATCTGAAATTGCCTCTGCTCTACTCTCTCTCCCCTTGCCTTCTAGAACTTCACGACATGCTTATTAGACCTACTTCTCCTATCTGCCATGATTCTAAATCTTTCTAACATACTATCTTTTTTTTCTCTCCATATTGCATTCTGGATGGTTTCTTTAGTACTATCTTCCAATACACAAATTTCCTCTTCTTGACCTGTTCCTAATGTTTCTAGGACCCTGGGAAAGAGTACAAATGGAAGGCAACATACTATATAAATATATTTAAAAGTTAGCCATCAAGCTAATAAAGTATTAAATAAAATAGATTCCATCCTCTGATCTTGACAAAGACCCAAGTTTGAATTTAAAATTCTTGGATTGGGTTTCCCTGGTGGCGCAGTGGTTGAGAGTCCGCCTGCCAGTGCAGGGGATACGGGTTCATGCCCCGGTCCGGGAAGATCCCACATGCCGTGGAGCCTGTGCACCTGGAGCCTGTGCTCCGCAACGGGAGAGGCCACAACAGTGAGAGGCCCGCGTTCCACCAAAAAAAAAAAAAAGTATGAAATTCTTGGATACCTAGAGCTCTGCCCTATAATATAGTGGCATAGGGAGAGCTAACTCTTAACTGTTAACCCCAAGCCCCTGTCTTCTCTCCTCAGCTCCATTCCACACTGCAAGGGACATCAAATGTACACATTTAGACACCCAATTTACAAATCCTAATTCCATCCATAGTCCCATGAGAGCCATTTCCTGCCCACCCCCTGAGGGCACAGTCTACTCTCAGGGGGAGAGACCTAAGGAAGAGGTCTGCATGAGGAACTGGAAGCAGGCTTGGGGCCATCTGAACTGGGAATTTCAGGGCCCCTGGTGGCAGAAGTATGATCCAGAAGGGGGCATATAGATTCTGTGTGACTTACCATATCCTTAGCCATGCAGATTTTTTGTGGCTGGATGAAGGCCTGCACATTCTCCAAAGCATAGTGTCCAATGCTGTGTAAGGGCAATACTGCTCTCTTTAGCTATGTTTAACTCATCTATTGAGTTTTTAATTTCAGTTATTACATTATTGATTTCTAGAAGTTCCAGTTGGTTCTTTTAACAATCTTCTGTTTTACTCATATTTTAAATTCCTTCTTTAATATTTTTCAACATGTTAACCTTGCTTATTTTATATTCTGTGTCTGATAATTCCAATATCTGAAGTCCTTGTGGGTCTTATTCTACTATCTGTTGTTTTGGTTGGTTGGCTCTTGCTTTTGGTGCCTTCTTTCTTCATGTGTTTTGTGATTTTTGAGCTCAAATTTCTTAAAATTTGTCTGTGTAGAATTCTCCAAAGCCTGGAATAAGGATGGATTTCTATAAAAAAGATTCATGTTTGCTTCTCCTAGGCACCTGAGTACATGACAAGTCTGGGACAACTGTAAACAAAATTTTCCATCTGTGTTTTTACGAACCATCCAAGTACTGACATTTCAGGCTGCAAATCCACATGAAGGCCCTTTTGTGATTGCACATTCTCAGAGAATTGCCTCTTTATTCCCACCCCTCTCAGTGGCAAAGTTGTTGGGCAGTCCTTCAGGAGTAGGAGTGGATTTCTTAGATCAAGGATGTGTTTGGAGGTTTCTTTTTAAAATCCCAGTCTAGAGTAGGCCTTGGGCTTTGTCTTTTATGATCTGACCCCTACAGGGCTGTGAAAATTCACAAGGTTAGGTAAATGCCCTCAAGGTTCCTACCTTCTTTTATCCTAAGTATTCTTTACTGTCTTCCCAGCTTCTTGAAGCAAGAAGGAAGTTGTTTTATCCTCATTTTTAGTTATTTTCAGTGGGAAGGTCAGTTGGGGTACAACTCTGCTTTATTGCTGTAAAAGTCTTACACAATGTTAATATTTCTTTAATCTATTTTGCTTCATCCCTACTGCTAATGCATTGGCTCATACACATGTAATTTCTGGTTCCATCCAAAAGCCTTCCAACTGCATTCCCTGCTTCTAGTCTCTACTCTGCCTGTTCTCTCCATATCCCATCCTTCCAACCAAGCAGGATCAATAAGGGTCTCAGGAAGAAACAGAGTTCACTCAAATAGTTCAAATGAAGGTCTTTTAATGAAAGGATCAGTTGCAGAGTGGCTAGCAGAGGTAAGGGAGCAAATAAGAGTTGATGAAACCCTTAGAGACAGAGGAGAAGATAAAGAGACAATGAGAGAAGATAAAGTTTCCAGAGCCCAGTGAAAGGCAGAGCCATAGAGGAGGGGCCACCTGGCAGGAGTTGTAGTCATGGAGGGATGAAGCTACTACTAGAGATATAACATCAAAGGAGAGAAGGAGTGGGGAAGAGGTGCCAATTTCACTTTCCATCTGCCTTCTGATAACCTTACCTAAGCCTCACTTTCATTAAACCCAACCTCAAAGAAGATGAGGTCAACCCCCAGAGGCATGAGCTTGGCAGAGAAGGGCAGGAAATGAGTCCAAGGGCCAAATAGAAAATATCAGCACATCAGCCTTTCCTCAGACACTTCAAAAGGTCAGTTGTCTAATATGCTAAACTTATCATACCATTCTCCTACTTAAAATCTGTCAGTGGATTCACATTATCTTCACGACTAAATCTAAACTGGAATATGTGACTTCACCCCTGCCTATGGCTTCATTTCCCCAGTTTTTGTCTTAGCCTACAGCCATTCTGAATTATTTCCAGATTCTCCAGTAGTCCCTGATCTCACACCTCCTCTGTACATTGGCCATATTCTTTCCTCTTCCTAAGGCAACCTTATGCATCTACTTTGCTTGGCAAACTTCTACTTAACCTTCCAGAATCAAAAGACTTAGCTCTGGAATCACGTCCTCCTGAAAATTTTATTTTTCAGAGTTTTTCCATCACTTCCTTACTTAATCCCATCATAATACTTAGTTGAACTGAGTATCCCGACTGTCCTTCCCCCTTGAGAACAGAGATATGCATTTTAGCTCTTACCGTTCCTGGCACACAGTAGGTAATCAATAACAATTCTTCAAATTAATAAATGAAAACTAAATATTAGGAAAAGAGAAAGAAAACAAAAAGGGAGTATAGTTATAAACCTCTTTGAAATTTTAGTTTATGGGGGAAAGTCTTGGAATTGAAGGATTTCCTTTCTCAAATTTATTTCTGAGATATTTATCTTGTATATAGGCAGAGCAAGACAAGGAAAAGACTAGACACAGGCCCAAGGACTTAGATTTTGAATCCTAGGATTACTGCTAGACTTGGGCAATGTCATTCTGGAATATAAGAAAGACATTGCTTTGGTGTCAGCTTTAATTCTTGCTAAATAATGCTTTAAATTCTTTAAATAAAAATTTAAAAAATGTGTATCAATCCACACATTTCTGGTAAATTCATATTCCAATAACTTTTGCTTTCTTTGTATATTAAAAAAATCTAAAACTGTGGAAACCTTCTTGCTTGGTTTAGATTCCAATAGTATAAAATGCTTTCTTTTAAAAAATTCTTTGAGATAAAACCCAAATGCTACCTACCACACTGCAACAAAACACTGAGGAATTATTTGCTATGCTGATTAACATATTCTTATTGATTCATTGATTGCAACAGTTATCATTTTATTTGCAGGCTCAAATAAATATTCCATGTATACATGGAATATTTAAAGAAACTTAAATTTAAAGAAATTTGGGAGGAAATACAGGAATCAGAGGTTTTCCTGCTAATTTTCATAACTGTAACACCCCAATGAAGCCAGTTTACAACCACGAACACTAGTGAAAACTGAGTAAAGATTTACAAATCTCTTTCTAATTAAAGACAATTTCTCGCATTTTTTTGACAGATGAGGTTACACTACATTTTCAAAATTTAGATTTTGTATTCTAGATTTTGCTTAAACCTCTGTAAGGCGTTTTTTTTCTAATACTGGTATAAATATCCTAGAAAGTGTTCACCAAATGTTCAGTGTAATACATAGGTTCACCACTTGAAAATAACACTTCTTAAACATTCGGCCAATATTGAGTCAAAGATTTTAAGATATAACACATACAACATTGTGAGCAATGACCAGCGGACAAGACTACATTAAGGAGAACTGCTGGAAGCTTCTCTTTGGAATCTTGAAGGAAGGCCTCAAGGTGGGAAAATCGGAAGACTAGGGAACACTACATGTCCCAGCATACTTTGGGACTACCGTTGACCACAACTCCCAGAGTGCATTGCTCGCCGTACGCAGGTTTTCCTTGTAGCTGGGGCTTGTAGTTTTCCCTGGTCGAGTCAATCCTTAAGGCGAGGCACCCACCCCCAGGCTATTAGGCTTAGTCTTACAGGTTTTGGCAAAGCTGAAACACTTCGGGACCCTGAGGCGGATTGTTTGTCTCATCTCTCGGCTTCTGCTTTACACAGGTAAGTCACAGAGGGGCTACCGTTCCCCGCAGCAGGGCCCCTCCCTTTCTTCCTGTGAGCGACCTCGTTGTGGTGAAGCCATTTGTCCCTCAGCTCTCGCCGTAGCAGCCGCCGCCCATCCCTCTTTGTGTGCTTGGGGAAAGCTGCGGAGCTAGTGGCCGCGACTGTTGCCTTTGGGGGCAAAGGAGAGGGACGTTACTGGAAAGTTGCTGGCAGGCGGACCCTTCCCCATCCCACCATCTAACAGGTGGGTTGACTGTCCTTCCCTCTAGGCCCTTCTGTCTGCTGTGTCTCACGTCGGGACTCCAAGGGCGGCTTGGCAGTTCCTGCTGACAGCGCCGCCCGGGCCGGGCTCCAGGAAGGAGAGGCGGGGAGAGCCAGGTGCGGTGACTCATGGAGGCCAGGGGAGACGAGTCCACTCCCTTCCCTTCTGGACCCTCCGGAGGTGCCCCGAGGAGCCTCGAGGCTAGTTCGAGGCCTCCTCCCCCGGACCTGTTCTGCACCGCTCCCTCTTGGCCGTGACCCCAGGGGAGAAGTGACTGCTTTTCGTCTTACTCCATTTTATAAATAAAAGTCGCTATTACTTGCGTTGACAGCGTTTTCCTTTACTTGGTGTGTGTTTGAAAGTACCCGAACGCGGAGGTTGTAGCACAAAATTCCTGAGACTTTCTCTTCCTTGGAGTTTTAAGAAAGTGAACGCGTCAATTATGGAGGCTCCGGCCTCTAGGAGGTTGAGCGGACCTGACAGCTGTATGTAGTTATCTGGTCAGACTTTTTTGTTGGGCTTTGACTAAAAACGTACTTACTTCAAGTATATTTAATAGTTATTGGTGGTAATATTTGTGTTTTGCTTCTTCTTAATATTACTATTACATGGTAGTTTTAGAATTTATAGAAATTTTCTGTGTGACCGCCTGTTTTATCAAATTTCTGGGAATGAATGCAAAACTCTGATAGCAGATTTGATCTGTGTCATATAGCTTAGCTTTTAATGCCAGCCCGTGTCCTCTGTTCTAAGAGCCAGAGATATTGTGTTGAATTTGAGCATGTGAACATTAAAGAGCTTACTGGTGCTAGTTACTATGCTCAATTCTGGGTATTTATTTTTTATACACATTTGTTTATATTGATAATTTTTTTCAGGTCTTAGTAATATATGTGCTTCTGTTATTTTAAAAGTAGAGTTTATATGTTCTCTTTAGATAGCATTGAACTACATGGCCTCTCGAGACAGTTCTCTTCTTGAAAGACTAATTTTTTTTAAAGAGTGCTGCTTTTACCAATGTAATAATGATTGTAAATGATTATATGCTTCTTAAGGTCGCAAACATGTCTGACAAAAGTGAATTAAAGGCAGAGTTGGAACGTAAGAAGCAGCGGTTGGCTCAAATAAGAGAGGAAAAGAAGAGGAAAGAAGAAGAAAGGAAAAAAAAAGAAGTATGTTTGATTTTTTTTAAAGATAATATAAAATAATTGGATTTTAAGTACTCATACCTTATGTAATACTTTCAGAATAGTTAAAATTCCAGCAGTTGTGACTGCAAATATAGCACTTTAGGTGAAAAGTTCAATATGCATATTTAGCCTTCTAGGGATATGTTTATTATATAAAGTAAGGGGCATCTGCCTTGTAATAGCTCATAAAACATGGCATATACATCATAACTTAGTTTGGACTTTGAACTTACCTGAATATTTTACTCGTCGGAACTGCTAGTTGTTGGAATAAATAATGGCAAAGAGAAATATAGAATAGACTATTAATTGATTAGGGGATTATTTAACTGATCGTATCTCCTTTATTATGAGTTAGTCATTGAAATATCTTTACCAGGTAGTGGGTTTGATACTATTGTAAAGGTGGACTAGGTACTTACATCTTCTGATTTTTGGCATCACCATTTCATCATGTATGGCAAATATACATTGACCCTGAGCTGGAGATATTTTACTTTCTCCTGTATTGAAATGTACATTTATCTCTATGGAAACTGTTTAGGCAGATTTGTATACTTTTATCATAGATGTTTTAAATGGCCAGTGTTAAGATAGTTTGTTCTCAGTGTGACAGTACCAAGTTTTTCTATGTGATAGCCTAAACAATAGCCAAGACTTCCAGGAATCTCTTAGGGAAAAAGAAAAACCAAAGGTGCAATTTATGTGCAGCATTGCTATGATACTGTAAAGGCCTGTACTTGAAGAATTTTCTAGTTTATTCTGAACCTTTTTGTGATCCATTATTATAAGAGGGTTGGACCTTAAAGTTCTCTGTTTGATCAAAAGCCAACTGATAGAAGCATGAGTCAGACTGGCAGAGCCATTCCAAACTAGTATGTGTAGCCTTAAACCCTTCAGGGCTGAGTGCAAATTTGGTTTTTGTTTTCTAAAGATGGCCATAGGTGGCCCTAAGGGATATCTATTACATGCTTTATATCTGATTTAAAGGTTATCAAACATTACCAGAGACATTACAATTATAATACTATTAAACAGTGAGTCTACTAACATATTGTTATATACAGGTAAAGTGTCTACTTGATAATATAGTCTGTTTGGCTATTTTGATGAAATTTTCTGATGACTTCTTTAAGTTAAAATGGTATCAGAATATTACGACTAACAAAATTTACTGCAGACGATTGTATGAGTAATAGTTGTCTAGCTGAAATAGACTTTTGAGGTGTATATATAAAACTTTTTCCTTGAAGGCTTAAATTTCACTTGAGATGTTTTGGATGATCTGAGAGTGTTGAGGCTTATCTAGTTTAACTGGAAGATTTTGCTAAAACTATAAATGGCTGAAATAAACGTTGGCAAAAATTTCAGTGACAAAAAATGTTTTGTGCTATGCAAGAGTAAATTTTAATTTTACCAAACCAAACCGTGTGTTTATCATCATAAAAATAAGACCTGTAGTTTATAAAATAAAAACAAAACCTGTCTCCAGATGAATTTTTGACAAACATCCTTTACATAAAGTTGAATAAAGACACTGAAGACTTCATAAAGAAGTTTGAGGTACTTGTACTTTTTCAACGAATCAGATTGTTCATTTACTTAAAATTTGTTATCTCTTAAATGATTCAGTCTTTTTTTTTCTTCATAGTGTTGTGGTATTTATGTATTTGTGAGATTTCCACAATTCCTGACCATGGATAGCAATTTCATGTTGTAAATAAATAGAAATTGACTATACTTTTTGAATTTATCTGTTCAGAAAATTTTTGTGAGAACTCCTTGATTACATATAAAAATGGATCAATTTAGGGCTTCCCTGGTGGTGCAGCGGTTAAGAATCTGCCTGCCAATGCAGGGGACACGGGTTCGAGCCCTGGTCCGGGAAGATCCCACATGCCGCGGAGCAACTAAGCCCGTGTGCCACAACTACTGAGCCTGCACTCTAGAGCCTGCGAGCCACAACTACTGAGCCCACGTACCACAACCACTGAAGCCCATGTGCCTAGAGCCCATACGCTGCTACAAGACAAGCCACCGCAATGAAAAGCCTGCGCACCGCAACAAAGACCCAGTGCAGCCAAAAATAAATAAATAAAATAAATTTTAAAAAAGTTTTTTAAGGATCAATTTAATACATATCATTTGGAGATTCTTACTAAAACTCTATTGAGAATGATTTTCATTTAATGACTATAATGTGTATTCAAAACTAAGTCTACCTCCAGAAGTATACAGTATTAGCATGTTATTTAAAAAATTTATATTTTTTGCAAACAAATTTCATACCATATGTAAATTTAAATTTTTAACTTAAAAAATTTAGACTGATCAGAAGAAGGAAGCAGCTGCTCCTGTGCAAGAAGAATCAGATCTTGAAAAAAAAAGAAGAGAAGCTGAAGCATTGCTTCAAAGCATGGGGCTAACTCCAGAATCCCCCATTGGTAAGGATAAGAATATATCCATTTATAAGAGATAGGCATATATCTTATTCAGCCCAGACATACGTGAGATGAGTTGATTTAATGTATTTTGTATATTTTTCTTATTTGTGCCTCTTAAAAATCATTAATCTTATAATTCATTTGGAATTGACTTTTTTCAGATGTGCTAATATATGGTTATTTGGTTTGTTCAGAAGAGCTGCAAGACTGTATTTATTAACATAAACCAATTGACTTTTCTTGTTAAATCAGTAATTTATTTCAACAAACATTTGTTGAACAAGTTATCTGTGCCATACTATATTAAGCCCAAAAATGACTGTGATTACTGATCTTAACTCTATAATCCTTTCTATAGGTTGAAGAGAGGTATAGTGAATCAAAGTTCTAAAAGTATATCAGTATTCAAAGGTATAGGAGTGGAAGGAGAAGCTTATAGCCTTCTGCTCTCAATGCTAATAAGGGAAATAATATTTGTAGCTTATTATGGCAGCAGTTTCACTTGTTCTTTTTCTGGGCTGTTCACTTTAAAGCAATACTAGACCAAAAAGCTGAAATAATAGAGGTATTGAGGACAATCTGGTTACATATAAGAAAGCATTAAATGCTTACTTAAAATAATTCTGAGCTGGGTGCTGTTACATAGTATTTTAGTTTGACATGGGCTTTGTCATTTAAGGACCTAAAATTTCAGGGTTAGTTTGTGGGCTAATTCCATCTAGTCCAGGGGACAAATACCAGAAGTAGTATCTGCTGTATGCCTATTGTGAACTGCAATATAACTGTCTTAGAGCTACAATTTCTAAAAGGTTTCAAGATGAAAAAGCTGGTTACTTTCATGGTCGGCTTCATTGTTATTACTTTCAGCTTATTTGCCTTTTCCTTATTGGTAAAATGTGAAGACTAAAGTACTTTAATTTTTATGTCTTTATAAGCTTCCGTGGCATATTGCAATTTTAAAAGTAAATGAATTAGAATACTTTTATCTTGTTAAAAAAATACCCTAGTAACTAAACCAAGTTGCTTGTTAGCTATATAGTCCTTTTTTAAAAAAATAAATATTTTATTTTATTTTTGGCTGCATTGGGTCTTCGTTGCTGCGCGCGGGCTTTTCTCTGGTTGTGGCAAGCGGGGGCTACTCTTTGTTGCGGTGCACGGGCTTCTCATTGCGGTGGCTTCTCTTGTTGGAGAGCACGGGCTCTAGGCGCGCAGGCTTCAGTAGTTGTGGCACGCGGGCTCTAGAGTACAGGCTCAGTAGTTGTGGCACATGGGCTTAGTTGCTCCATGGCATGTGGGATCTTACTGGGCCAGGGATCAAACCCGTGTTCCCTGCATTGGCAGGCAGATTCTTAACCACTGCGCCACCAGGGAAGGCCAGCTATATAGTCTTTAAGTGATCATTTTTTTATGAGCCTTTAGCTTTGTTTTTTTCCTGTAGGATTTTTTTTTCCCTTTTCTGTTCTTTTTAGGACTTCAGTTTCACTAAATCCTCTTGCTCAGATTTCTCAGTTTATGGCTCACTTCCATCACCTGTTCTTGAAAGACTGTTCTTTAGTTGTATGTTCGTGTATGTGTGTGTGGTGTGTGTGTGTGGTGTGTGTGTTTCGCCCTCATTTCCCATCTCCAATTCCATTGTCCTTTCCAGTCTTGCATTAAGTACCCATTCTTGGATTTTTAACATACATCCTTTTGATCTGTCCAACATGTGTTGACATTTTTTAAGATTTCATATATCTAAGTGTGTATGTTTTATATACATAAATGGCATTGTACTATATGTCTCACTCTGTTTTTTCCTTTTTTTCAAGCAGCATTGTATTTGAGATTTACCCATGTTGTTACATATAGATCTAGTCTGACTGGTACACAATATTCTGTTATATACTATATTTTACTTATCTGTTCCCCAGTGATAGGCACTTAGATTGCTTCTGTCTCTTTGCTTTGCTATTCCAAGCAACACTGCAAAGAACATATTCTTTTCCCTTGAAAGGACTGTGGAAGAGTTTCTCTGGAATGTATGCTGAGGAATTGACTTGCTATTTTATTGTGTGTAGGCTGACTTACATTTATTAGGTTCTACATACCACTCTCAAGAATGACTGTAAGTTTATGCTCCTGCTACCAGTGTATGAGAAAGTAACTGTTTCACTATATCCACATAACTTGATATTATCCAACTTTTTAGTTTTTGTCTACTTGATGAGTGTAAAGTAGTATGTCAAAATGTCATAATATACATTTATCTGTTTACAGTGAGATTGACCATTTCTTCATATATCTATTTACCATTCAGATTTTCCCTTCTACGAATTGCATGTTCATGTCCTTTGCCCCTTTACTATTAGGGTTCTTTACCTTGCTGTAGGAGTTGCTTGTACTTAAGGGAGGACTTCTTTGTCTGTTTTAGTCTTCTAAAAAATACCTTCTCCTAGTCTATCATCTACTAACTGTTCATAGTATTTTTTTTGTTAATTTTTGTTGGAGTATAGTTGATTTAAAATGTTGTGTTAGTTTCTGCTGTACAGCAAAGTGAATCAGTTATGCATATATATATATATCCACTCTTTTATAGATTCTTTTCCCATATAGGTCATTACAGAGTATTGAGAAGAGTTCCCTGTGCTATAGAGTAGGCCCATATTAGTTATCTATTTTATATACAGTAGTGTGTATGTGTCAATCCCAATCTCCCAACTTATCCCTCCCCTTTTCTCCCCCCTTGCCCCCCGGCCCCAGTAACCATAAGTTTGTTTTCTACATCTGTGACTCTATGTCTGTTTTGTAAATAAGTTCATTTGTACCATTTTTTTTTAGATTCTACATATAAGCAATATCATATGATATTTGTCTTTGTCTGACTTCATTCAGTATGACAATGTCTAGGTCCATTCATGTTGCTGCAAATGACATTATTTTGTTCTTTTTTATGGCTAAGTAATATTCTGTTGTATGTATGTACCACATCTTCTTTATCCATTCCTTTGTCAATGGACATTTAGGTTGCGTCCATCATAGTATCTTCTATTGAACAGAATCCTTCATTTTTATGTGTTCACATCCTTTATTTTGATAGTGGTCAGATCTACCATTTATAACCTTTTTCTTTTTTTTTTTGAAAAGAAACCCTTTCCTACTTTGAGGCTACAAATATATTCTCCTACATTTTCTTTATTATTTTATCCTTCACCTTTAGATATTTGTGTTATATTTTTGAATATAATATGAGGTAGGGATCCAGCCTAATTTTTCTCCATATAGTTAACTAATTTTCTCAATACCATTTGTTAAAACATAGTCCATCTTTTCCTCACTGATATTCTGATGCCAACTTTGTCATTGAGTCAGTTCTCATATATTCATGGGCATTTCTGGGCTCTGTATGTTCACTGTTGACCCATTTGTCTGATTCTATACTATTAACACACAGTTTTAATTACTGTGGCTTTATATTAGTATATTCTAATTTCTTTTATAGAAAATGGCCCCTTCTTTTTTCATCTTTTTCAAAATAGCCATAGCTTCACAAAATTTTTCTTCCCCTCAAAAAAAAATAGTTCTTAAGCTTCCCCTGAAAACCTTCCTGCACTATATGTTGCATGTTTTTAGTCTTTCTAAATCTAAAAGATCCTCCACACACATACTCCTTTTTGCCCCATGTCATCGACTGGTTGAGGAGAGTGGGCCAGTTGGTCTCTAGAATGTCTCACCTCTTGGGTTTTTCTGAGGGTTTTCTCACATTTAAGCTTTTGTTCCTCTATTCTTTATATTTCCTCTAAACTGGAAATTAGATTTTAAAAGCTTGATTAGCTTCAGGTTGAACCTCTTTGGCAAGAAGATCTCATAGATGATTCTGTGTACTTCATATTGTATCACATCAGTAGCACATATGTCTGGGTTGTTACCAGTGATGTCAAGATTGATCGCTGGGTTACAATTGTGACAGCCAGGCTTCTCCATTGTAGTTACTTTTTTTCCCTTTGGACTAGCAAGTAATATCTGGAGGTGATACTTTGGTACCATGGAAATATTCATTTCTCTGTCAGCTTTTTACCAAGTAGTTTTAATACTTATTGATGAATCTTTTCCAAATCAGTTATTTAATTATTTTTATTGTTCCATCATTCCTTCTACATTTATTGACTGAAATTCTTCTGCGAAGGGGAGGTTTCCTTCAGTAACTAGGGCTATTTGGTTACCCTGAATGCATTTCCTGTTAGAAAAGCAAAAAACATACTTAATTTTTTTCACTTTAGTTACTAATAGTCATATCCAGGTGTGGCAGATGAATTTTTCCATGTATTTAAAGAATAGATTATATAATATTTTATTTAGGGTTTTTGTGTATATGCTCATAAATGAAATTTACCTATAATTTTCTTGTGCTGTTCATGTTCAGTGGCCACCATGGTTATGGTTTTAAAATAAATTGGATAGCTTTCTCTTTTGCTATTTTGTAGAACAGCTGTAAAAGATAGATATTACCTGTTCCTTAAATACTTGGTGGAATTCAACTGTAAAACTGCCTCAGATTATGCTTTTTTACCCCAGAGGATAGTGGAGAGCAGGAGTTACTCACCATTTCAAGCTTTTCTAATGGTTATAGTCCATTCAAGTTTTCTATTTTTGTATCGTTTTGATATATTTTTTAAACAATAATAAACGTTTATTATCTCTCACAGTTTCTGCCAGTCAGGAATTTGGCAGTAGCTTAGCTCAGTGGTTCTGGCTCAGGGTCTCTCATGGGGCTGAAGTCAAGATGTCAGTCAGAGCTGTAGCCGTCTGAAGGCTTGATTGGGGCTTGAGGATTTGCTTTACCAGCCATGTGATTTGCTCAGTCACGTGGCCAGCAGGTTGGTGTTGGTTGTTAGTGGGAGGTCTGAATTCCTATCCACGTGGGCCATTCCATAGAACTAACTGCTTGAGTATCCTTGCAGCGTGTCAGCTGGCTTCTCCCAATGTGAGCAATCCAAAGACAAAGAGAGCCGGAAGGAAGCTAT